GCTATAAATTGTGGGGCAAACAATAAAGTAATCTCACAGACGACCAGAAAGAAATCAGCCTGACTGACTGGAATATAGGCCTAGATCCACTGTTTGACAATTTTCATTTCAATTTCATTTAATTTACTTGTGTCAGAAACATTCAATTTTACACGATTAGAAACAGAAAAGAACGAACACAAACGAACATGAGACAGGAGCACCCCAAAGGTGAGCTAAATCACTTTCGAGTGGGGCCTTTCACAGAAAAAAAAAATACGTACAATTTAAAATGTTGCCAAACAAATGTACATTAAAAATAAAATCAAACAAATTTGTTTGTTTGTATTTAAATATTGTTTCAATGGTTTAAATTAACACTGGTTTCCATAAAATAGCAATCGTTACAATATGTAGCAGTGTCTGAGCTGATCAGAAAGGCGCACGTACTGATTCGACCAACCAATCAACGTCGCCAAATGCTGTCGATGAAAGCTTGTAGCGATTTTATGGAATCTAAGCTTTACGGATGTTGTACACCTACCTAACTGCTACGGCAGATTACAGTTGCTGACACTGTGCGATCGTAGTAGTCATCATCATTATCAAAGCACGTGATTTTTTCCCAGACGATAGAGGCACAATGATGCTTAATGCATTCGGTGACTCTTCCGCTCTAATGTATTACATAGTATAACCACAGTGGTATAACAATGGTTACTCTGGTCAAAAGTTCTAACCACTAGAGATGAAACATTTTCAGGGATCAACTTGATTATAATATACTGTAACTTACACTAATTTAAAATGCGAGTCCCAAATAAGCCTCATAACACTACAATTATCATTCCGCATATATAAAATGCACTAGACTCTTTAAAGTATCAATACGTGCGAATCGGTTGGTTCACATCCATATTTCTCCATAAAAAGCGATGGGTATGTTGGTCCAGTTCCGAGATGCCAACGCTATGATACATCTTTTTGATATCACCCACCAATGCGACATTGTCTCGTCGGAATCGCAGAAACACTGCTAGAATTTTATTGTTCAGATCGGGTCCCTTCCCTCAATATTCATTTAGTATGTGGCCATGATAACTTGCGCTAATATTAAAAACAATTCTCAAGGGAGTGCTCTTGCTATCTGGTTGGGGAACACCATGATGCGCAATGTAGTGCACGGGACCTTTATACCGTCTCATTTCATCTTCATTCACCTCTCTAGCTACTTCGATAATTCACCATGTCATCGATTTGGGATGTATAGCAGATAGCACCAGTTTGATCTTTGAGCAGCTTTTTCTCTAGGACTTTAGCTTGATTTCTGCTACAGGTCTGTTATCCGACGATTAGTGTGGGTCTTAGATCCATGGGTAGCGTGCATGCCACCTACCATCCTTGTGCGTTAACCCTCCGTCTATTAAGTTTAGCTCCCTTTCTTCTCTTAAGGTGTATCTCTTAGCTCCTAGGGGGCAATTACCACATTTAGAACCTCCAAACCTTGGACTGCATCTAACACCAATGCTCTCGATATCTAAAAAGTCAAAATCAGGTTGTTGTTTAATTTGCGTTAAGTTGATTGAGTTTGATTCACTTCTGCACATGGAGTGTTTTCCGAAGATCATCTGGCCGAATGGCCTTTCACACAAAGCAAGCTCATCTACAGTCTTTAGAACAGTCGGGAACAGATTTGCATTATCAGCCCCAATGAGTAATTCAACTGCCCCAGTAGGTCGTTCTACTTGACGTTTGTCAACTTCCAACATACCATACCAAATACTTCTATTTTAATGTCTGCATCTCTCGTCTTCAATGGTAGGATATAACTGTACGTGTCGATACACTCGGTCTCACCACCAAACTTACTACTAATTTACTGAATATTAATTAGGAGTTTCATTACGCTAATTTCGCTTTCAACATTGTCCAATGTCCCATAGCCCAAACCATATAGGTTCCCACCTATATTCAATTTCCTGGATTCAATGGAAGTATTTTATAAAATTACATTATCTCCATACTTTTAAATCGAGCCGCTATGTCGTCATAATCTTCATATGTCTATACTTACAGAGATCATTACAGAACTCTCAGAATACAGGAAAGTTCCTCATCCTCATCACTGTCGTTAACATCATCATTATTATTATCAGCATCATAGATTATGAGTTGTCAGTTGTTATTGTCGTTATGGTAGTCGCTGTCGGCGCCGCTGTCGGCGCCGCTGCCGCGTCGCCGTCAACGGGAAAAATACGTGAAGAACTACTGTACCACAGGCCTACCAAACATTCTGCATATTTAAGGGCATGCAAGCTCTCAACCCCTCGGCGAAGCATTGCAATCCCCCTGACATTCAAGCTTCTCTCGCTTTGCCTATCTGTAATGTTGCCCTGTCGTCAGGGAAATTCTAGCGAAGCCACTGGTTTGAAATCGCTCGTTGTCCATTGACGTGTTCCTTTGTCTCTTTCCACACAATACAAGAGTATAAATGTAATATTATTACATGTGATGTAGTCATTTTTATTATTTTTATGCAGACTTTAAACACCAGTAATTTTTATTGTCATTAGATAAACGTTGCTTAGATTCAACGGTGACGGTCCCACTTGTGGCCTGTCATTGCCAGTCATTTTTTCCGTTCTATCTGAAGTAAATTAGTAACCAATTGTAAAATAATAACTTTAACCATTTCAATAATCTATTGGTGTAATGTTTTTGTATTCTGTAGGCTCTGGGGTTGGCTCAGACGGAAGTTCTTTCAGTGCAAGCTCCCTCAGTTTCCCAGCTGTACCTTACAGCAGTCTTGACTTTAACTTGGCTTGCTCTATAAACGACTACAACGACCAGAACCAAGTCCGTAATTGTAGATTAGTTGGTCTCCCAGACTTAGCGTTGGGTAAAGAGTACGTGCGTGGTAAGATTGTTGACTTTATGAACACATTGATTGGATATGGTGTTGCTGGGTTCCGCGTTGACGCCTGCAAACATATGTGGCCTGGTGATCTCCAAATCATTTACGACCGGTTAGACGACCTCAACACAAAATGGTTCAAAAGGTATTCAAGACCTTTTATCTTCCAGGAGGTGATAGACCAAGGTGGTGAGGCAATCAAAGCTACTGACTACACCGGCTTAGGTCGTGTCACCGAATTCAACTACGGATTAAAACTTGGTGATTGCTTTGTTGGAGAGGACAAACTCAAGTACTTAAGTAACTTTGGTGAGGCTTGGGGTTTAATGAACGACGGCAGTGCACTTGTCTTTATTGACAACCACGATAACCAGCGAGGCCACGGTGGCGGAGGCCATGTCCTTACCCACGAGTCCCCAAAATCATACAAACTTGCAAACGCCTTTATGCTGGCATGGCCATATGGCTTTCCACGTATCATGAGCAGTTACTTCTTCTCAGGCACTGACGAAGGACCGCCATCCTCCTACAAAGGCCAAACAAAATCTGTCACCATTAATTCAGACAACACTTGTGGAAATGGGTGGGTTTGCGAACACAGATGGCGGCAGATTAAAAACATGGTTAAATTCAGGAATGTGGCGGAGGGTACCGATGTTAACAATTGGTGGGATAACGATAACCAAGCGATTGCGTTTAGCAGAGGGAATAAGGCATTCTTGGTCATTAATAATGATTCTTATAGAATTAAAGAATGGTTGTCCACTGGTCTACCTGCTGGAACCTACTGCGATGTGATCTCTGGTGACTACACTGGTAGTAAATGCACCGGCCCCACGATCACAGTGTACGCTGATGGCAGAGCCTATTTCGACATTAGTAACTCTAGTGATGATCCTATGATCGCCATTCACGTTGACGCTAGGCTTTAAAGTATATGCGTATAAAATCTGATAAAAAAGAAAACCTAAAATTTCAAATAAAACATTCCCGATTTGAGGTAGTTGTTAGTTTTAGAAACACTTATGTGTTGGGTTTCAGGTTTTAAAGACGATTTTAAATTGTGCAATGCGCCATATAAGTCTATTACCATTTCCATTACAATTTAAATTTTTCATTTAATAGTATCATAAAATAAACTTCAATGAAACTAGTCTACAAGACTCCCTAAATTTACTGTTAACTGATAGGTTCTGTGCAAAGAATGTATGGATAATGCGAAAAATATTTTTCTTCTTTTGTTGGTCTTCAAAGTAACCAGTTTAACTGAATAAAAATATCTAAAAATATATTTAACTCAGCTCCAAGGATATTTATTTTTAGTTGGATTAGCTCAACACAAGCAATGTCTTAAATTCATTGAAAGAATTCATTTGGATCCACTACTTAATATTTGATTTTATTCTTTATTGACCACAAAGTGTACATAAAACCCTCGATAACAGGAATAAATACGTTTTGCATTTGGAAAATGTACATTGCCTTCATAACAATATGGGACATCAGTTGTTGCGGAAAAACAGTTTACTATACAAATAAAATATGATGCTCAGGTTGCACACCTTCCTTACCCTTACATATGCCTATTCTTTTATTAGTTTCTATTCTAAACTATCTACCAGTCTCAACTTTAAGATAATGGGAACTTAAAATAAAGCGTGATAAAACAATTCGTTTATTCTTGAATATGCTGACATAAGGCCCAATAAAAAAATCATTAGTTTATCACCCTCGCGCGCATGTCTTTTATGGTACTGGAAAAAAAAATTGGGGAAAAAAAAAAAAAAAATTGGAATTTTTTTTAAATTATTTTATTTAATATTTGTTTTTCATTTATTTTATTAAATAGTAGTAGATATTGTTTGCTTTATCTAAATCATGTTTTACTTTGAATATCAATGCACCAGCAAACAACCCAAGGGTGATATTTGGCTTTAGCAAAATAAAACATTTAAAAAAAAAAACCTCCCTCCCTCATCACTTTTCCTGCCCAGATAGGGTGATAAACTAATAATGTTTTTTATAGGGCCTAAGTACAACGGTGCTAGTATGAGCTCAGTACGAACCGCTTTTTACTGGTTAAATCGCGTTGTAGTTTTATCCACAATGCTATTTCTCAAGCGCACCATCTCATCATGCAACGGTATACGTTATATTTTGATGATGACAAAAAATATTATTTATATTTGCACATTATATTTTCACGACATTCACTTGAGAATGTCGGTAGAAAACCGGTGAAACGTCGTGTAATGTTGTAATGTTTCATTGCTTGATTGGACCATCAAAAAAGAACGTACACCTAGTTAGCACAATCTAACAACATCCAATATTGTCCGAATTCTACAGCATATCTGTTGCATTTTGATCGTGTTTGTCAATACTAGTACCAATTCGAAATTACGATATAATAATTATTTGTCCGTGATTCTGTCCAAAAATCGTTATACAATATTTCTTTAAGATGATTATACAGTAATTAAATACCCAGAAACTTTCTATTTGGAAACAAGACCTTTTTCAAGTTACTAAGGCCCACCAAAGCACCACACTCGACTCCTTCAGTAATTTACGAAATGAAATTGTAGCAAGTACGGTAAATAAAGACATCGTTAACGTAGTCCAACCTGAGCAAGCTACCCACTGAACACATTAGTGGATTCAGAGGCCCAGTCGGTCCGGGCCCCCTACGATTATAAAGAAAGTGGAAAATAAAATGAAATTATCTCAAATTTAGTCTGAAAGTGCCATTTCCAACCATCCTGATGTGATATACTCATAAATTGTCTTACCTCAGCCCAACCATGGTGAGGCTGAGGTGGTCTATATCTCCATCTGTGAAAGTTCCTCCCTGGGCCCCATTTCTAATTCCTAGATCCGCCATTGTAACATGCTGCACACAGTTATATAGTTAGTCTAAGCTAAGTTTTATTTTTTTTTCAAAAATAAAATAAATAAATAAATCACGCAAGGAAGTATAGTGCTAAAGATGATAATGATGAGTAGGTCAAACATATTCATTGTATTTTTTTGTTGAAAGAATCCTTGTTTCGATCCTAAAAATGAAAGTAAGAAGGAAAATAAAACACCGTTAATGCACAAAATCACTATCAAAACATAATGGAAAATATTCATAAGGTTTCTATTTTCTATAGAGTCCGATATAACTTGACAATAATTTCTTTATAAGTAAGTCACATTGTTTTATATATAGGTAACAGTGTATATTTTAATCAAACTGCTGGTTGTAACGGTGACCGGTTTCTGAGTGTTCTTATCCACAAGCAGATCGACACTATATCGATTACTGTCTGTTATTTTTTGCCATGGCGGATCCAGAAATGTCTTAAAAGGGGTGTCGAAAATGAAGCTGATGGAGACAACACTATTTTTGATTTCTAGACCCCCGAAACTAACCTCTGAGGCGTTTTGGGCGATCAACTTTTTTTTTCTATTTTTTTTTTCTAAACAGGGGAGTGGACGGGGCCGATACAGCCACACCCTAAATCCTCTACCGTTTGCATCTCGTATGCAAAAAAGCACAAAGCTGTTTGTTAGAGGGTGTTTTTCTATAGTGTCATAAGAATTTGACAATTGCTTAATAGAGAATTCATTTTAACATCATATCCAGCCCCCTCTGGATCCTGGCTTTAATTTTAGGCTGTTTTAATGCTTTTCAGAATAATGAAGACGCGATGAGTTTGCAAAAAAAGCAGGGATGACTTCATGGAATAAAATCAGAATAGGCTGATAATGATTTTGAGATGGTAGTAATGATGATGATGATGATGATGATATGCTGATGATAAATGATGATAATGATTATGTTTATGATAATAATGTTAATGATATGATGATGGTAATGATGATGATATGATGATAATGATCGTATAATGATGATAATGATGTTGATTCGAATGGTGATGTTGATATGATTATAGTGATGATCATGGCTATGATGACGATATTGATAATGATCATTTCTTTTTAGATGTGTATCATAAACATGAATATAATATGAACTACTTATGCTACAGTTTTAATTGCAAATACAACTTACAGATTTTCGCAAACTGTCTTTATAATGTACAGATTCCTGATGATATCTGTTCAGCAAAACAAGAAACATCCACAACGCCACACGTGTCGAGGCATTTTGGTAAAGATCGCTCCTCCTTGACTTCAGGCAGGTCTATGCTTTCAAGGCGCTTTACTGTTATTGAAAAGGCAATACCTCTTTACGTCTATATATAAGATGTGTATAAGAGACAGTATATATATATATATATATATACATATAAATCAAGATAGCCATTAAAACTGTTAAATTATATATAAATCATCAAAGAAAGGTAAATACAGTGTACGAATAAAGAACATAATAATACACCGCGTAGCATAGCTCTCAACGAATGTATGATTCAACCATGAAGTCCCCGTGGTCTAATGGTTATGACGCTCGCCTCGACAGGTTGCTGGTTCGAGTATCGCCAGAAGCATTTTACTACACACTTTCTGTAACTGCTCTGGTAACTCACCAGTCATCGACTGCTACTGAAAGCCATGTAAAAAAAGGTAAAGCATTTACGCTCGCACGTTGGTAACTTTACCAGCAAAGTTTCATGGTCTTTCCTAGACCGATACATGCTTACGAGTGACGCGAATTTTCAAAGTTCGCTCCGCCTCACAATGCGCACAAAAATGGACGATGAGGGCGCGTAGCACTGGAGAGATCTAACACTTTCTTTATCCATGTATTTACAGGACTACATTAGTTGAGAGCTATAAACAAGTTCATATTTCATTTCCGCTCTAGTTATTATTTAATCATAGGCTCTATTTATATTAAACTAATTTTGAATGGAGGTTTATTTATAATAATATACTAAAATAATATATATAATTTGCCGTACTAAAACATTTTAACATATTTTAATACTAAAGTAATAAGCAAAAATCATAATAGCCTGGTTCTTACGAGAGCCTTAGTATCCGGATCAGGAGCTAATCGTTAGCCGTATTTTAGGTATCCGGATCGGGATTGTCTCGTATGAACGTTTGATTGATTGATTGATTCATTGATTGATTGATGATTAATGTACATTCACACAGAATCCGTCGGATTTAATCAAACATTTATATGGCGCCATTTCCAAAAATCCCGAAGGGAATAGCGCCCCCCCCCCCCACCTCGGGGAAGCATAGCCCCATTGTCGGGGAAGATGACGAATTTTGTCGGGGAACAAACAAATAAAAAAAATATTTTCATGTAATATTCGTTTAGCCACCATATTGTTTGTGTTAACTTTTCATCACTACAACAACAACAACAACAATAACAATAGTAATATTAATGATAATAATAATAATAATAATTTAATGAGACTAATTAAAAATAATTTGCGTTCTGTTATGACAAATGCTCACTTAGATAGCCTATCAAATAAGTAATAAAAATTCGCCATAATTCATTAAATATCGGTGGCTTCCAGGGGTCTTCGCCCGATGGAGCACTACCGGGGACCCTAGGTGGCCCACAGGCCCCAGCCAAGTGTGACTCAATTCGTTCAAATACCCCACCCCCCGTCGGAGCCTCTAGCCCCTCCGTCGGACAGGTCCTGGCGCCATCACTGGGTGGAAAGTGAGGGATTGGTCTAATATTACACCAAGATTACGGACTGAACTGAGATTGCAGAATTTTGTTTTTTATCAGACAATGTAGGGTCTTACCAAAATTGGTCACAAGAAAGCTGTATCTTTCATTAATTATATCTAAACGCTACAGCACAATCGTATAATTTACTTAATTAACTTATGTATTTGAATTTCTGTAACCGTGTTATAAGGGATAAGCAAACATAAACTACAGTATACACATTTTTTCGCAAGTACTGTATTTGGGAAAGTACTGAGTATTCAGTACGATAATACGTCAGGTAAGACTAAACAGTACTCATAGTATAAAAACATAAAAATGAAATCGAAAAGGATGTGTCACTTACCCGATGCCGAAATAATGAAGAAAAGAAGGCAAATTGTCATGAGTTTCATTGTGATTATTGGGAAACGCGTCTACACAGCAAATATTAACTTCAAAACCTGACTGTGCAATCAGTTGGAGCTTCCCTATACTTATAGGGAAGCATAAGAACCTCCGTCAGCCAATGACAAGCGTAGTTATGGTTTCACTAATATGATAATTGATTATAGAACAGTGATGTATATGCCTACGCACTATTATTAATGAACCAAGTTTATTCATCCACAATTATAACATGCCAATCACGGGTGGTGCCAGCCGTGAGGCGGGGGTGGGGGGATCGGGGAGCTTCCCCCACCCCCGTCGGGGAGAAAAAGCACAATTCGTCTGGGAGAAAAAAAATAATATCTATTATCTACATAATTATTAATAGACTCTAAAATCGATAAAATAAGCCTTTGAAACCCCTAAATTGTCAAACTTTTCGGGACCGCTT